AAGAGATACAGACAGGATAAACTCTGAGGACAGGCATTAGCATTAAGGGGGACTGGAAAAGGCTCCCTGCAGAAAAGTGCAATTCTAGCTGAGACTTGAAGGAAGCCAGGAGGCAGAGATGAGGAGGGAGAGTGTTCCAGCAGTGAAAATTGCCATGATGTGGGAGATACTGTCTTGTTTGAAGAACGGCCAGGAGGCCAGAGTCCCTTGATCACAGAGCACGTGAGTGGCATGTAAGGAGTAAGAAGACTGGAAAAGTGCTGGTAGTGGGGTCAGGGGGGCTTGGTCATGAAGGACTTTGAATACCAAACTGAGGATTTTATCTTTGATCCTGGGGGTGATAGGGTGCCACCAGAGTTTACCGAGTAGGGGGAATGACATGATTATGCTTGTACTTTAAGGAAGATCACATGGACACATTTTGACTATTTTCTCACAGGATTATTTAAGGATTTTCTCATTCTTCCCCTTTCATTAGCTTTGCCTCAAAGCACCCATTGATCGATTTTGGAGGCCTTCTTGAGGCAATCATTAAATTTTAATTCACCTGAATTGAATTAATTTGAATTTCATTGAACAATAATAATGATAGTTAATGTTTACATAGAGCCTACTATGTACCAGGTCCCTAGTGCTTTACAAATATTATCTCATTTTACCTTCACAACAACCCTGGGAGGTGGTGCTAGTATTATCTCCATTTTACAGTTGAGGAAACTGAGGCACACAGAGGATTAGTGAATTGCCTTAGACAGCTAGTGTCTAAGGCCAAATTTGAACTCAGGTCTTCCTGACTCCAGGTCCAGCATTTCCTTTATTGCACATTTAGCCACCTCAAGAAGGAAAAGTAATTCCATTCCCTCCTCATTCTCTGCAACAGAAGTGGAACTCCAATTACCATTCTTTTCATGGTGGACTTTTTGTTGAAGGGGGCCACGGTTCACCCACATTCACTTGAAGACTTCCAGTGATAAGGAGCTCACTACCTTCCAAAGAAGTCTAGGGCAGCTCTCACGGTTCTAAGTTTTTCCTAACCTATCTGCCTACCTTTACCTCTTGCTAACTTTCTCCTGCTACTCCTGTTCTGTCTTCTGGAAACAAGCAGAATGAGTGTGATAGCCCTTTAAATACGTGGAACCAGCACCTGGGTCCCCCCGGGTCTTGTCCAGGCTGATCGCATCCCTGGATTCGAAGCCCTTCAGCAGGCCCTTACCAAATGGTTGCTGAATTTGAATCCAGCTCCAAAGGTGTTGGACGTGGCGCTCTTGTGACTGCCCCCTACCAAAGGTGTCTCTCCTCTGCCTCCTGACAGCTTGAGCTTGAGTGGCTGGGTGTTTTCACCTGAGCCTGGCAGGTCACCTGAGGAGGTCTCTGGACCCAAGTGCGGTAAAGTAGAAGGCGACCATCTCTCAGAGGCCACGAGCAGCCCCCCATACAGGGCTGGCCTTGGCCTCTGATACTTGCCATATCTGGAGCAGCCAGGTGCATGTTGGGTGCTTGCCCCATGATGCCACTGTCCAGATCTGCTGGAGCCCAGCCCCAGGCTTAGCTGAGTGAGGGGCAGCAGGCTCTGAGCCCAAATGAGGTTGAGGAAGGGGATGCTGTAGAGAGAAGGGAACGTCCTGAACTGGTCTCCTCGGTGCCCGGGGTGGGTGTTTGGAAGCCTTGACTCACACAGGTCCTGAAGGCCTCCAAGGCACAGAGAGGTCACTGTCCACGGAGGATTGTTCTTGGCCAGGCTGCTTCACAATGGGGGGTTTGTTCCCAGCTGCCAGGGGGCAGCGGGGGTGGCAGGCAAAGGGCCTGGCTGGAGCTGGTGCAGGGCATTTCAGAGGCGGGGTGGTGGCCCCATATATGACCGAGACCTGGCATCCTCCCTATCAGGCTGAGGCATGAGGGCGGTGAGTCAGCTAGGTAAGGGCAGCATTTGGGGCTTGAGATAGGAGGCTGGAACAAAGGGTGATACTAGGGAAGCTAGAAAGGTTGGGTAATGGGAGCGGTGTCCAAAGACAAAGCCAGAGGTAGGTAGGTGAGTGAAAGGCAGATGTCTATCAAAGCTCAGGCCTGAGGAAGATGCATAACCTACAAACCTGAGCTTCTCACCTGAAGGCCCAAAGCTGCTAGGCTGGGCAAACGTAATCTCTGCCCTGGGACTCCTCTATTCCTATTCTCTGGCCCCCTCCCGGAGAAGAAAAAAGGCCACCCACCTGCTACAAAACACTCCCTTGAAGGGCCAGGGGCCATAGCACCTCCCTGGTTCCTATTCATACAGCATTTCCTCTAGAGGCAGCACAGCCCCAGGGAGTACCCACAGCGCTGGGCACAAGTTTTTCGTTAGCAGGTGCCTTTCCAAGTGAGTGTTTTCTCTTCTTGAAGATTGCAGATTTTGTGTCCAGGAGCACATGCCCTCAGAGTCCACCTAACCTAGGCTGTCTCATAAGGACCTTGTCACCCTGAGGCTGGTTTCCAGGTGCCAGGATCCTTACTTCACAGAAGTGCAAACCGAGCCTAGGAGAGCTGAAGGGCCTTGCCTGGGGTCCCACAGTGGCATCGCAGGTGAACTCTGAACCCAGGTGCTCCTGAGTCCTGGAGGTACCCCAATCCTGGTGCACTGAGGTGCATGGAGGCACGGCCCCCGAATGTCTGGCATTTAGCAGCATTCCTGGGAGTCCTGGAGGGGCCAGGAGTGCTTGGGGTCCCCAGGCTTCATGCATATTTCTCCAGTCTCAACAATGGAAGGTGGGTTGGATGGGGAGGGCTCCAAGGCTGCCAGCCATTGAGAAATGCTTCTCTAGTCAAACAGGAGAGAGGTCAGGCAGTGGCTGAACTGTTTGGAATGGGTGGCTGGAGCGTTTGAGGTAATGGACTTTCACAAATTCCACCACTGGAGAGCAGCGTAGGAGCTTGGCTGGGCCATGACCTCACTCAGGCCGCGGTTACCCCAGAGGCCTGCTGAGAGGCCCATGCCAAGTAAGAAGAGGCAGAGGGCAGGAGAAAGCTGCAGGCCTCCCCAAAGCACAAAATCCAAGGGGGAAAGCTACCAGTGGCCTGTGGCCTGTCCCCATGCTGCAAGGCGCTGCACTAGACAGAGCTCAGCACCTGGAATCAAGAAGACCAGCATTCTAAACTAGCTTCAGACCCATATTAGCTTTGTGACCCTGGGAAGGTCACTTTACCAATGTACTGACAATTGGAAATATCTGCCAATGTCATCTGAAAAATGGGGATAACACACACTTCCCAGGTCTGTGAAGATCAAGTGAAATAATGTTTGTAAAGAACTCTGTATACCAGAAAGTGCTATGGAAATGCTAGCTATTATAAGTATTATTATTATCTGAGGCTCTGTTGAGATCTATGGAGACCAGGCTGCCCACAGTAAAACACTGACTCACGAATCACTTTAAAGCCTTTTTAATTGAGGATACATGAGGGACCCACAAGAAATTCCTGGGGTATCAGCAGCCAGCTTCCTGCCCAAAGGGGCTGCCAAAGGAGGTGAAGGGAAGACCTGCAGAGCAGACAGCTGGAAGTGCGGCCTCCCCTTGGAGCAGGCCCAGCACGGCCTGCAGGACGCCAGGCAGCCAGCGTCACAACACTCCTGGGCCCTCCTGTCATTGCGCAAAAGCAGGGGTTTACCCTTCAGCCCTCTCCCTCCCCGGGCACAGATCTTACACCAGATCCCACGTCAAAGGTGGAGTGTTTGCCAAAGGTCCCGAGGCTGGCCCCTTCCCCAGACAGAGTAGAAAACGAAGCTTTTCTCTATTCAGTGAGGGGCCAGTGCTGCTCTTCACATTGGCCTGCTCCATCGGCTCCCAGACTAAGATCGGGGCCCCACCCTCCTTCCCTCAGCAGCTGCAGCAACTGCCTCTGTCCAAGGAGGCCTTCACAGGGCTCCAGGCCTGAAGGGAGAGGGCCCCAAAGACCAGCGACCGGACAGGCCTTGAGGTTCACCGAGCTCAGCTCGTAGGGCCAAGCCTGCCTTCTAGGCAGAACAGGCTGCACAGACGCTCCCCAGAGCCAGAGTGAAGCCTGGGTGCCTGAAGGAGAGGAAAGGCCCTGAAAAGAGGTCTGATTTCCAAGACGGGGTGTGCCTGTGAGGCGCTCTGCTCACGGACCTCGGTCACTTCCAAAGCAGAGCCAGGCGGAGGAGAGGGCTGTCCAGTGGTCAGTGGGCAGGGCAGCTTACCGCTGGTAGGGGTGCATTGAAGCTGACTTGATGTTGGTTTTGATGCCACTTGGCATCTTACCTAAAGGGAGAGGCAGCAGTATGGGGTTGAGCAGGCCCTGTTCAGGCTCTGTCTAGAGAAGTCTCCCTCTACCCCCAAGGTCACCTCCAAGCTCTTCTGACCCCTGTCCCTGGGCTGAGGTGCAGGTGCTTCCCTTTCGTTACATGTCACCCGGTGCCAGGCCTTGAGAAAAGCTCAGCATAGAGAAGCAGGGAGGATGGAAGATTTGTGCATTCACACAGACGGACACATATATACCCTCAGACAGGTCCAGGAAGGTCTGCTAGGCCATCCTTCCTGACAGAAACTGTATCAGGCTTGTCAAGGGAAGGGCTGGCCCTGGCTGCTGGCCACAACCGGTAGCAGTGGGGCTCACTCACAGCCAATCACAGAGGCTTGTGACCCTGCTACCAGGAGGAGGGTCACAAGTAAACTATGAAATGAGCAGACTGTAGGTACTCCTGGGGCAGGCCCTGGCCTCAAAGGAGCTCCAACACCCCTAACGGTGGCTCTGATCCTCTATGGCCCCAGAGGTTACACTTCTGAATCCACCCAGCCATGTATCATCAGGCTGGATTTGTGAACTCTTGAGCTGAAGTGAAGTGAGTGAAGACAAAAGGGAGGGAGGGAAAACAGTGGAGAATGAACATACTCTTCTCTGCTGCCAGAAAAAAATGCCATAGCTGGTGCCACGCCATCACGGGGCAGAGAGAAAACGCTTTAGGCTGGATAACCGTGCCCACGGGTGTGCCTTACACAAAATGCCTGCAGGAAAGAAGAGGGTGGTGGACTATGGAGGTGACCTAAAAATGCAGGGACCACTCCACTCAGTCCATAGCAGTCTGTGATATGGAAGGGAAGGGGGGGCAATGGGGCACATCTCGGCCTGAGACCTGAACCTCGACTCTGAGGTTTCACAAGGGTCAGACAAAGGCCTGGCAGTGCTGCTTGGAGGAGATGGGAGCCTGTCAGCAGGAAGGGTCTTCCCAGTAAATGTATTTGAAACAGGGAGTCTGCACCAATCTGTAACCAAAAGGACCATTCCCCGGCAACCGAGTGGTCGAAGGACATGGGCATCAGGGATCAAAGAAGAAATTCGACTGGCAACAGCCAGAGAGGGGATGGCTCCATTGCCTGCCCACTAGACCTGCAAATATGACCTGAATGGTAAACGTGGGAGGGGCTGGAGGTAGATGGGCGGACGATGGCACCAAGAAGAACACAAGAATGTGGCACAGCTCCGCAAGAACGGGGTCAGGAACACCCAAACCCAGGCAGCTGAGGCAAGAAAAGGGGTTCTTTCAAGTCATATGAGTGCGTGCTGGGGGAGCTGTGAAGTCCACCCAGGCTGGACTCAGTGATCCCCCTTCCAAGCCCATACCTCGGGACACCAAAGAACGTGGGGAAGGAGCCAATGCACACAGACATGCACAGTAGCTGTTTGTGGCAGCAAAGAGCTAGAAACAAGGGGGTGTCCACTGACTGAGAATGGTATAGGAATGTAATAGAATATAACTCTGCCATAAGATATAATGAAGAGATGGATGCAGAGGAAACTCTGAGCACCTCCAGTCTTTTTATGCTTTATTATCTATGATCCAGCTAGAATGGCCTCCTGGCTGGTTCTCAGATATCATACTCCACCTCCCATCTCCAGGCCTTTGCCCTGGCTGTGCTCCATGCCTGGAATGCTCTTCCTTCTCATCTCCACCTCCTGGCCTCCACCTCCTTCAAGACTCAGATCAAATCTCAACTTTGATAAGAGGCTGTTCCTAGTCCCCCAGCTGCTAGTGTCCTCTCTCAAATGACCTTCATTCCATTTTCCCTGGATATAGCTGGTACGTACACAGTCATTTCTATGTTATCTCCCCCATCAGACTATGAGCTTCTTGAGGGCAGGGATTGTGTTTTTGCCCTACTTATCTCCAGAGATCAGCACAGTGCCTGGCACACATAAATGCATGTTGACCGACCGCATGAACTGATGCAGAGTGAAGTGAGCAGAACCGGGAGAACAATTTCACAGTGATGACAACATTTCAAAGAAAAAGTACTTTGAGAGACTGAAAAATCCTTATCAATGCAAATGACCAACCACAATTCAAAAGAACTGCTGAGGAAACCTGCTGCCCCTCTACTGACTCAAGATAAGGACACACTGATTTTCGGACAATAGCCAATGGATGGATTTGCTCTGCTTGACTCAGTCTGTTACAAGGGGAGGAAGCTTTATGGGGTGGATTTTGGGGTAGTAATAATGATGCCCCCCCGAAAAAGAAGAAAAGGACATCAATGAACTATTTAAAAACAAATAGATGAGAACAGGTAAGAAGGGCAGCTTTGAAACAAAATGGCGAATTTGTTACATACTTAAAAAACACAAGCCGGACATAACAGAGCCTCAATTTCATAGACAATTCTTTTTCTGTTCTTCATACATGGAAATGTTCATGTCATCTGGAGTTTGTCAAGTTCATAACAATAAAAAATTAAAATTAAAATCCTGAAAAAAATCGGAGGGAGAGCATTATGTCTAAGAAGGGACTGGACTGCTACTTTAGGTGGACAGGACAGGGTGAACAAAACAAAATGACTAACAGGAAACTGAGGCCCAAAAGAAGCAAAGTGACAGAAGGAGGGTCCTGAGTGGCCTTGGTTGAATTCAAGTCACCAAGCTTACCTGAACCACACTGCTGGGTCCTAACAAACCAGGCAGATGTGATTGCTGAGTGACTGTCAGTGCCACCTGAAAGACTGGAGAGTGATACTGAAGGAATGGGAAAAAGGCAAATGTCCTGATTTTTAAAAAAGAGAAGAGAACAGAGCAGTGAGGCCAGTGAGCTGCATGGCCTCCTGGGAAAATTCCAGAAGGGTGCATTTAAGCAGACAGTGAGCATCTAAACAAGGATCTGAGGATTAGAAAAGCCAGGTTGGGCAAACTGAGAACAGGTTGTGCCAGATGAACCTCATTTCCTTTTTACAGAGGATTATTTAAGTGGTAGAGCAGGGAAGGCTGTAGACATAGTTACCTAGATTTTAGCAAAGTGTTTGACTAAGTGTCTCATCACCCTACAGAAAACAGAGGTGAGATGTGGCCTAGACCACAGCAGGATCCTGAATTTAGAGCTGGGAGGAACCTGAGAGTGCTATGGGTCCATCTGCTTTGCCCAGGGACCCGAAGGATCACAGCACCTTTCTGTATGACTTGCAGAGGAACCCTGCTCTATGTGCCGTCTCCCCTACGACTGTGAATTCCCAGACAGCTGAGACGCTCTTTTCCTCTGGGTCTCCTTGGCTCTTGGCAAAGGGTACTACACACAGTTAGCTTCAGTCATTTTACAGCTAAGGACACTGAGGCCCAGCAAGGAGATGGTGCCCTGCCCAGGGTCACATAGCTAGGAATGTCTGGGATGGGGTTAGCGCTCCGGTCTTCCTGACTCCTTGGGGCCTCCCACTGATCTAATACAAGACTGATTCAGAATGAGCTGAACGGCTGCAGGTCGATCCAGCAGGTCTCCAGTGGAGTGCCTGGGGATCTGTGCTCTGTCATGGGCTGTTTCCTCTTTCTATCAACGATTTATACGAAGGCAGCAAAACATTGTGACCCGAGAGCTACGCTTGAGAATCATCAATGACACAGACTCAAAAGTCTTACCTCCGACACTAAGTAAATGAACTACAACTATATTAAAAAAAAATAAAGCTATAATTGTCCAGAATTTTTGCCCCCACTGGTGGTTCCTGTGGGGAGAGGTCCTGACCCCTGACCCCAGAGGTCTCCTTGCCTCCAACCAGAAAGAATCACGTTTTGGGTGTCCTGGACGGCTGGACTGCATACCACCGTTCTTCCCCAGGACAGAAGCCAAGAGAGGCAGGAGGAGAAAGCACACTAACGGGGGCAATACGCTTCCCAGACAACAGAATTTCAGAGCTGGAAGATCCAGCTAGTCTGAGCCACACCCAGAAGGAATCCCCCACTGTAACATCTCCCCCTAAAGGGGCTGTCTGGTCTGCGCTAGAAGAGCTTCAAGAAGGGAGAGCTGCCCTACCCCCAGTCACTGTGGCAGTTTTCATTATAAATCAGCAAGATTTTCCTGATGTCGAAACCAAATCTCTCCCACTGCTCCTGGACCTGCCCCCTAGGATCAAAAACAAGAAATCTAACCTGTCCTTCACAAGATAACCTTTTAGACACCCCCCCCACTTCTGTACCATGACTGGAGGCCCCTCCCACCCTGGCTACCCTCCTCTGGAGGGGCTTAGACTTCCTGATACATCCTTCCTAAAATAAGCTGCCCACACAAATTCACCGTCGATGAAGCTGTGAATTGGTTCAGTCATTTCTGAAAATGATTTGTAATTACTTGAGAAAGAACATCTAGAACAGCAGCTCACGCTTGGGCAGTGAGGCGCTTCCCCTATCTATGTAACCCCATTAGATGCTTCCAGCAGCCCTAGATCTTACAGGGGACTGACCCATGGTCACATGGCTCCTAAGGGAAGCTGTGAACCCCAGCCTTCCGCACTCCAAGTCCAAGCCTCACTCCACGACACCCATGAGAAAAGGCCCCAACCTGCTCGTTCCTTCTGACCCAAAGACATTCCTACTGAGGAAAACGACAGAAAAAGGCCCCCTGAATAGCCCCATATCCACCTCCATGCTCTCGGCGACAGGACACGGGTGCCCATCAGCTCTGGGCTCCTGAGCAAGCCCTGGTGTATGAATGTATCAAATATTTGCTCCATAAGAACGAGAGAATATAAGAAAATCAGAGAATGCCGAAGACCCGTGGGGCCGATGCTAAACCAGGACCAGGTGGCAGAGCAAAGAACAGAGACGACAAGAGAAAGCTCTGCTCTCGGTTTGACAGCAGTGACCAATCTCGGTCCCAGAGGGCAGATGACAAGGCACACCGTCCTCCTTCTTCCTTGTGAGGCGGGGGACTCTGGCTACAGAACGTGACACATGCCGTCACACGGTCTTGAGTGATTTTGTCTCTGTTAGAAGGGAGGACTCAGTGGTGAGGCAGCACGCTGGGAGATGAATGAGGAATAAAACAGCCAAAGCATCAACAAAAAATATAATTAGCTCAAGCTGTCCTCCTTGCCCTTCATGGCCTTCCCCTTCCTAAGCTGGGACCCAGACTGAGCACAGTGCTCCCAACCTTGAGCCCTGGATGCTGGCTCCTTTGGGCCAGGCCTTCTGTAGGCACTGCACTTTCCTGCCTCCATGCATTTGCTCACCGCTTCCCTTACCTGGCTGGCCGGCCTGTGCCATCTGTACTCCGCTGAGCAGAGGGCTCTGTTGCTGACTGGACGTGCCTGTCATCTGAACTTGCTGCATGCCTGACGCTCCAGCCAGGAGGGCCCCTGCCCCAGGCTGGCCTGGCTGGCTGGGGCCACTGGTGCCAGGAGGTCTCCAGTTGGACAGACCCTTACCGAAGGCAACTGCAGCCACCAGGGCATTGGTGTCTGTGGGGTTGAAGGTCTGTTTATTCTGACGGAGACCTAGAAAGGAAGGCCGGGGCACTGAGCAGTGGGCCTCAGCAGGACCAGGGTCACCAAGCTTGAGAGCCTAAGGAGGCTTCTGACTAGCCCTGCGGCTCAGGTATGGGAGCAGCAGGTTCCTGTGGTTGCCTCGGACCAATACACGCAGGCTCCCACACGGGTCATTCGACAAACCTCATCCCCGTAGCTTTACCATCAATCCATGGCCATTCTCCATGTTCGCTTTCCTCTGTCCCTGTCTTTTCCTCTCCAGGCTTTGCCATCATGCCCCCACTGTGCCCCCTATCCCTCCACTTTCCATGTTTATACCCCCTTCCCTCCTTCCCTATCTTTCCTCCCTGTGATGACTAGTCGCCACCTTGCTGGACACACTCACCTCCACTTTCTGATTCTCGCTCCTCTTTGCTGATTTTCTCCAGCAGGTTCGAACACATTTTATTCAAGGTCTGAATTTGCTTCTATAAAACATCCAGGTGCACTGAGGTGAGCAGGGTCAGCGCTGAGGAGCAGATGGCACCCGTGCCTCCCGGGGGCCCCCTAGGGCGGCACCCTGACCTCCATTACCTGGGCAGCATCGGTGCCGATGCGAGCTGCATCTGTGGTCAGCTGCTTCTCCTGCTCCTCAACCTCCGGGTCTGGTTTGGTTCTTAGGTGGTCAGGGACAACCTCATGACTGAAGACAGGAACCCGGCCCTCTGTCTGCCGCTATCATAAGGACAAAGGGCACGCTGCATTACCAGAAGAAAGCACCTTGGCCTCCGCTCCATCTGTGCCCCAGAACAAATGCCACCAGCTATGTGGGGAAAGAGGCAAAGGGCCCCAGTGGCTGGCAGCAGGGAAAGGGTGAGTCTGGACAGAAGCTGGAGGGGATGTGCGCTCAGGGTCAGAGCTGCCCTGCTGTGGCCTCCCACCCCCCTCTCACCGTGAGCTCCTCGTCTCGGTCTGGGGACAGCACCAGAGGAATGATGACCTGGTTCCGGAGCAATGGGGTCTTCTCATGCTTGAGGACCTTGTTCAGGGTGTTCAGCTGTCCGGAGAGCAGAGCGAAGCTGTCCAGGACTGAAGGCCTAGTTGGGGTGGAGGAGATGGGAACAGGGCCTGGCTGAAAATGTGGCTGGGCTGCAACCCATGGGACCCCTCAGGGAAGCAGCAGACAGAAATGCAGATGTAGCCTTAGGATTCAGAGCCACAAGGACCCTTTACATGCAGGCCCACCCAGAACAGATGCACAATCTGGGACTGAGGCAGGGGTTTCCCAACATAGCTGTAGGAAAAGACAAAGCCCTCAAAGAAGCTGGCAGGGCCTGGCCCTCAGTCAGGCTATACTAGGCCTCCTCAGGAGAGAAGCCCTATGGGTTGAGGCCCTGTCTAGGCCAGGCCATCTCCAAAAGACCTCCTTCAATGTCTGGGCTAGCCTCTGCTTGCCAATGGGAACAGTGGAACTTTCCACAGACCGGCTTTCCCACAGCATCCAAAGTATGGAAGGCTCGGGAGAGGAGAAAAGACGGCAAAGGAACAAGATGCATCCTTCTCGCTGTCTTTGTGACTCCCTCACCCTCCAATCATGCCGGCGGACTGTTTCTGAGGACACAGCAGGGGACACCTTCAGGGAGTCTGGGCTGCCTGGCCTACCCCACCCCTTGTCTCAACCCTTCTGCGGCTGCGACCTGCACTAGAGGGACAAGGGGCTCAAGCTTCCCCTGTGGCCCCTTCAGCAGCCCAAGGCCCAAGAGCTGGAGGGAGAAGGAGAGGTCACTCACTTCCCTTACAGGCCTCAGGGCCCAGAAGCTGGGAAACTAAACTATGTGACCGAGAAGGCTTCCAGCCTGGACGCAGTAGCAGTGTGCCAGTCTCCGGCCACCCACCCACCCGCCTGCCCTTCTGCGCTTACCAGGTAAGCCGGTCATACTCGTTCTCCAGCTTGCAAATAAAACTTCCCAAGGAACTTTTCAGATCCGCCACTTGATTCAGCAGTGCATCTACTGATGCCTCCAGCTGCTTCTCTTCCCTCTGCATGGACAGGGACCAGCTGGTCTGTATAAGGTGGTTGGGGCCCAGTGTGCCAGACACAGCTCAGCACTTAAGAGTCCATGGGGCCCCTGGTATCTGACAAGAAGACTGAGAAGCCCCAGGGAGGGGAGAGGAGGAGGGGCTGGCTGGCAGGGGCACAATTCTCACTCCCATTGCACCAGGCTGCCTTTTCCTTCTGAGTCCTATTGAGGTCCTAATGGGCAAATCCTAAGGCACAGCCCAGAGCCCCTGCTGTAGAAAAGCCAGGAGGGAAGGGAAGGGACGTCTGCCCTCCTCCCCCAGGGTTTCTGTGAGTGATCCTGGCTGCCCTAACTTGTACATGCTGCCTCTGGGCCATGTGTTAGGGCTTTTGGCACAAAAGGGTCCCCTGAGGGCCCTTGGGCAGGGAGTGTGCTCCAGGCAGGAACAAGGCCATGGCCAGAGGCTGTGTGGGCACCACCTCCTGAGTCTCTGGTGACCAAGGGGAACTCAGGTGCTCTGACACAGAGACAGGGTAAAGACAGCCCATCCTATACAGGGCAGGATGGTGGGATCACCCAGAGGCGTGGGTTAGGGGCCACCCTGGTGACTGGAAAGCTACACACTTCAGCCTGCTCCCCTGCCTGCATTCCTTCTGCCCCATTAGCTTATCAGAAGCACCTCATTCTTTCCAAGGCCTGACTCACGCATCCTTATCTCCCCTGTGGCATCTGTACCTGCAAATTGTCTCTAGGCCCTGACCATGGGGGCTCCTCCCCGGACCGCTCCAGAGGCAGCCCATCAGGCCAGCTTGGATGCTCCTGCTCAATGACACAACCCCGGGACAACCTGCACCACCCTGGCCCCCACCCCCAGCGCCTATCAGTTCCTGACCACTCCTTGATACCTCGATGTCCCCAACAATGAAAATTTCCGTCCTCTCCCACACCCAGGTTTGCTTTCTCTGTTTCTGCTTGTTTGCAGGTCACCCCTTTCTCTCTGTGCATAAACACACACGCAGCTAGGCCCCCCTCCCAGGCTCCCCACCTCAAAGGGTCCTCATTCCTGCCATCCCCCATCTGCTTCTTGTTATTTCCACCTTCACGACCACCTCATCCCCTCCTCTCCTCTGACTTGGGTCCTCATCTCCTCCTGCCTGGACCACTGTAGCCTGCTGGGGGGGTTCCTGCCAGCCACTGTCAGACCTGCTCCTAGCCCCGCCATTGTCACTGCTCCCTTAGGACCAGGGGACCATCCCTCATCAGACTGGGAGCTCCTGGAGGGCAGGGACTTCTAGCCTGGCGCGTCTACAGGTCTTCGCACACAGAAAACAGTTAACAAATGCTCCACTCATTCGTTCCATTTCTCTTCTGCTTAGCTTTCCATGGGCCCCTCCTAAGCAGGTCTCACCCCCACTGCCTCAATGACCAAATAGAAAATTCCCTGGACACATCCGCTGACCCAGTGCCGGCTCTCAAGATTCTTCCATGGGGGGTAAGGGGGGCGGTTGTGCCCCTCTGTCCTCCCCACAATGGTCTATACCTGTTGCCACCATTCGATTGGGCCTCCCTCCACACACCCCACGAAGGTGACCCAGGTTACTGACACTCCCAGGGCTGGCGCTTAAAGCTCCTCCTGGCTGGGCTCCAACCTACTTTCCGAAGCTCATTATGGGTGACTTTACCCAGAGCCAGGCGGTCCTGCCAGACCAGCCACAACAACGCATCTCCTGCCTCCACGCCTTTGCCTTGGTGGACCCTCCTGCCAGGAATGCCCTTCCTGCTGCAGGCTTCGGTAAACTCTTCTCTCGTCCCCGCCACTTCCCCCAGGACGCCCCCACCCCCACCCCCGTGCGCCCCCTTCCTCCTCCTCCACCTCCCGGGGCAAAGGGAGGCAGCGGTGAGGCTCGCTGTCTCCTGGCAGACCCTGGCTCACCGAGTGACCCCTCCTGGGCCTCAGTTTCTTTACATGTAAATTGGGGGCAGGGTAGGGAATGTCGGGGCCCAATCAGGTGCTCTGCAAACCCAGGGCGGCCGCTCCGCCCATATCACAGGCGACTCTCACGTGTAGGTGCTACTACGCCCCGGAGATTCCCCCCAGCTCCGCGAGCTTCTGGGCCTGGCCTTCAAGGCCTCCTTCGCAGAGTTTCTTTCCCACATCCTCGCTCCTGAGGCTGCCTCGCTTCCCCCACGACCTCCAGTCCAGCCCTTACCTGCATCTCGTAGGCAGTAGAGATTTCGCGTCCCCAGGGTGCCGCCCCCTAGCTTCCGCTTCCGGAAGCAACGTCTTCTAACCCCGCGACTTCGCACGGGAGCTTCCGGCGCGACGGCCGAGCGCTTCCGGGTCACGGCGGGTCAAAGGTCACCCCGGAATCTGACAGCCATGGCGGCGGAGCCGGCCGAGGTAAGGATGGGGTGGGTGGTCCGGGGAGGGGGCTTGGGAGCAGGGTGCGGGGCCCGGCCCGAGCCTGGGCTCGGCGCTCCAGGCCCCTGGGTCCTCGCTCGGGGAGCTGGCCCCCGCGCCGCCGCCTTCGTCAGTCCCGCAGTCAGTCCGCAAACCTTCCCCTCCCCTGCCCCGCCGTGAGCCCCCCGGGGGCGGCGCGTCTCTGAGGGCTGAGCTCCCCATGCAGGTGGAGGAGGCCGCGCAGGTTTTCCTGCTCATGCGCAAGGGCCACCGCATCTCCCGCAACGTGCGCCTGGCCTGGTTTCTGAACCACCTCCGCCAGCCGGTCCGGGCGGCTTCCCCGGAGGAGCTGGTGAGTGCGGGAGTGGGGCGGGGCGGGGGGCCCGGGGCAGCCCCCCCTCGCGGCGCCCTGACCCTCCCCCCCGCCCCCCGCAGCTGCGCTCCGAGCCCGAGCTGGCCGTGCTCAGCGTCCTGCCGCCGGGCTGGCAGCCGGACGAGCCGCTGGGGCCGCCGGGCCGGGCCCTGCTGCTGGTGCCGTCCACGCGCGTTACTTTCCTGGCGTGGCGCTACCGCTTCGTCATCGAGCTGGACCTGAGCCCGTCCACGGGCATCGTGGTGAGGCGCCCCGGGCCCCGCCAGCCCCCCCTGCCCTCCCCCATGGGGGCTGCCCGCCCCCCTTCCCCGCCCCCCCCCGCCGGGGCGCTGCCACCCCCCCCCCCACTGCCCTCCCCATGGGGTCTGCCAGCCCCCCTTCCCCGCCCTCTCCGGGGGACACTGACACCCCCCCCACCGTGGCGGCGCTGACAACCCCCCTGCCCTCCCCATGGGGTCTGCCAGACCTCCTGCCCGCTCTGGGTCTGGCCAGACCATTTCTCTGACCTCTCCCCTACCCCCCAGGATGACTCCACAGGAGAGATTCTCTTTGATGAGGTGTTCAGGGCCCTTTCCCGATGCCTGGAGGGGCTGCTCCGACCCTTCCGAGTCCCGGGCTCCTCCATCACCTTCCAGCCAGAGATCTATGTGACCATTCAAGCCTATTCTTCCATCATTGGCCTGCAGTCCCACCAGGTAGGGAAGGGCAGCCACATCTACACTTCCCCTCGGCCTGACCATTAGTGCACAAGGCTCTTTTGTCAGCACCTAGAGTCTGAGGTAGGATTTAAAGTCAGAGTTTCCTGACTCCAGAGTCCATCATGCATCTAGGCAGAGGGGTCTTAGTGCTGTCTTCAGTATAGTCCCCCGCCCCCAACCGTGCCCAGGGACCTGATGAGCTTGGAGTCAGGAGACTCTGAGTTCCAATCCCACCTCAGACACTTCTTAGCCCTGTGACCCTGGCAAGTAACTCACCCTCTCAGCCTCCACGGCCTCACTTTTAGAAAGAACGTGGTTAATAACAACACCAGCTTCGCAGGGTGGTTTTGAGGATCAAACGAGATAATATATTTAGAGTGCTTTTAAGTGCCATATTCTAAATTCTATGTTTTATTTATTTATTTTTAAAGTTTAAAAGTATTCTCAATCTGCATTAGGACTCCATGAGCCCATCAGTTCTGTGGGGGTGGATACCATTTTTCATCATAAGTCTATCAGAATGGTCTTGGATTCTTGTACTGCTGAGAATAGCTAAATCATTCAAAGTGGGTCATCTTAGGATATTGCTGTTACTGTGTACAATGTTCTGGTTTTGCTCATTTCACCTTGCATCAGTTCATGGAAGTCTTTCTAAGTTTTTTCTGAAGGTATGCTGCCCATCATTTCTTATAGCACCCCAGTATTCCATCACAATCACATACCACAAACTGTTTAGTCATTTCCCAGTTGATGGATATTTCCTCAATTTCTAATTCGTTCCCACTACAAAATGAGTTGCTATAAATACTTTTGTAAATACAGGTCCTTTTCCTTTTTAAAAAAAATCTATTTGGGATACAGACCTAATAGTGATATTGCTGGGTCTAAATTCTATACTTTAAAAACTAGCTATTGTGACATCTTGCTTTTGGCCTGGGCTTGCACAGTTATGCTTCAGTGACTGTAGCCAGGGGCCCTGGCTCCAGGCATTCCCCTGACCACGTGACCCCCCACATCCCTTTGCACCCACTCTGTTGTGGCAAGTCCACTGTCCTTACTGCATGGTGGGACCCCATGCCCTGACTCATCCAGAATCAGGCAGTCTGAAGCATCTGATCCAACCAGATCTGAACAAAGCCTTCCCTCAGCCCCCCAGGCAAGTTACCATCCAGTGAGGGGGTGAGCCCTGCCCCCAGCACTTATTAAGCACCTGCCGTGTGCAAGGGGATCTAGCCAAGGGAGTCAGGAAAAGCTGCGTAAAGGAGATGAGACTTGAGCTGAGTCTTGAAGACAGGCAGGGTTCCAAAAGGCCCAGGTCAGAAAGGAGAGCATGCTTAGGATGAGTCACAGCCTGTCCAAAGGCATGGAGGTGGGACACAGAAGATGAGTGCTTGTGGATGGGTAACAGCAAGGAGGCCCGATGGGAAGTGATGTGGAATCAGTCCTCAAGCTGGGCTGTGAAGGGCTTTAAATGGCAAAAGGAGTTTGAGTTTTGTCATGAGGATCAGGAAACTCTGGAGGGGGGAGGCAGCAGGGAAGGTTAAGAGTGACTACTGAAGAGGATCCCTTTGGCTGCTGTGACAGAAGTGGATGGAAGAAGGAAAGGCTGGCGACGGAGCCCAAGGAGGAGGCTGCTGGGCCACAGGGTTTGCTCTGCTGGCTCTTGCAGTGCCCACGACAGGGGGCCAGGGAGGGTGAATCGACACAATTTGGCGACTGGTTGGCTCGGGGGAGTTGGCAAGGATGGCTGAGGATGTGAACTTTATCAACTGGGGAGATGCTGGTGACCTGGGCAAGTCAGGAAGGATGGCTGGCGGCACAGATCGTGCTCCAGAGACCTGCAGAAGGTGCAGGCAGGGGTCTGCATCTGGCGCTCCAAAGAGATGGAGCCTGGAGGGTCATCAGCATAGAAACAGTAGTAAAATCGAGGGGGCTGGTGAGGCCGAGAAGGGCAGTGTAGGGAGCGAAGCGAAGACGGCGCCTGGGGTCAAGCTGTGCTTCCCAGGTGAAGAGAGCTCAGCAGAGAGCCCTGAGAGCAGTGCCAGGACCCTGGGGAGGGAGAGGACCCAGCCGGTGTGTGAGCGGCCAGGAGCTGAGATTTGGCAGTTAGGAGACCAGCGTGGCTCTTGGAAAGCCGCCTTATCTGAGGAGCGTGGATGGGAGCCAAGTGTTGGGACATGCTTGTTGACATCAAGCTAAATTCTGCTTCCTGCAAGTTTTGCTTCTGTCTTTGCTCCTGGGGGCTGACTGGAGCCAGTCTCCAGCTCTCCTGTGCTCACTCCTCCTCTTCCCACCCCAGCTGCTTCCTGGACCGAGGAGAAAGTGTCTGCGGTCCTCTCCCTGCCTCGGTTTTGCTCCCCGTGTCACGGCCTCCCTCAGGTACAGTGCCAGTCTCGAGTGCTGGCTGTGGCCACCTCCCCTCTTAACTTCGACCAACTTTGAGTTCACTTTGGGTGCTTCTGTGGCGAACTGCTGACAGCCCACCAGGGCCCCCCATCTTTCTCACCCACGCCGTTTTCCTTCTTTTCTCTTCTACGATTGTTTTTTGAAAAGATAAGCAAGATTCTGGCCATGCTGAAGTTGTCAGTGGCCCATTATTTGAGGGATCACTGTCCTGCCTGTGGACGAGGGAGCAGCTCTCACTGCTTGGCCTGTAAGGATGGACCCAGGAACTCCGTGTTGGGACAGACTCCCTCCCTGCCATCAATGTCCCACAGTGCACAGGGGTGAGCTCCCCATCCTCGGAGGGCTGCCAGCTCAGCTTTGTCGGTGTCCTCTGTCCCGTCCTCCTGTCTCTGCTGCACCGTGCCGAAGAGCTTGTTTGGGGAAGCAGCAGGCTGTGGCCGTGGAGCCGCGGCGAGCCGTTCACGCTTGTCTCTGTTCATCCACGTTGCATTTTTCCTCTTTGTGTCTTGGAATTTCGTTCCTGAGATTCTCATCCCTCACAGACTGGCTTTCTCTGTGGAATTTGCTCTTTGGAAGGGGCTCCCCTAAAATGTAGGGACGTGTCTGACTGTTGCTGGACGTCCGTCCCTTCCTTTTCTTGCACAGATCCAAGTGGCCATTTGCTGCAACCTGCTTGTCATTCTAGATCTACCTGGGAAGGACCTCAGAACTGAGGCCCAGATTGGGGCAGTGACTTATCCCAGGTCACACAGGTGCTTTTGAATTCAAGTCCTCTGACCCCAAACCCAGCTATCAGGTGAGAATCAGACCCAGGATCTGATTCTCCCAGGTAGCGACTCCTCTACCTTCTGGGCAAGGTTTGCCGTTGTTTCCTCCTTCTGTCCCGGCGGTCTGTGGTCCCTTCCTGTGACCGAATCACTGCTCTCTCTGCCCGTGGTCTTTGCTGAAATACTGTCCTCTGGCTCCGAGCTCTCCTCACAGGAGTTTGCTTTCTTAGCATCTAACGCTCAGTGGTGCTTGTACTCCCTCTCCTGCCCCTCCCCCAGCCACACTGCAGTCGTGGACCTGCACTCCCAAGTCATGGCTGCTGCCCAGGATGGGGCACCCCAGGGCCCTCAGAGGCCACGTGTGCCAGGATCGGGACTGGATCATCTCTTCCCATTGCCTTCATCATCGCTGCTGTGGTTCATGGATAAACAGAGACTGTCCGTTTCTTCCCTCCACTTTCCTTTTCACTTTAAAGTGCTTTTGGCTGGATTTGTGAGGACTGGCCTTTTTGGGGCTCTCTACCTGTGGCAGGGAGCTGTGCTTTTGAATTGAAATCCCCACCTTAATCAGCTGCTCACTTCCCAAACCTCCGTTTTTATTCTGAATCCTTTGCCTCTTTCGGCAGCAATCACTCCACCGGAATTTACAAAGGACTTTCTGGGTGCTAGGCACTGGGGACGCCAAGACCCAGTCCCATGGTCCTCATCCTCCGGGAGCTCCCGGCATGATGGGGACGTGTGTCTGCATGAAAGTGGATGCAGAATGTATCTCGGGCTTTTTAGAGAATCACAGTTTCATGGACAACCCTCTTTCCCTTCTCCTTTGTATGTCTAAAGACTCGTATTTGGGGCCACATTCAGAATGAAAGAGGATTTATTTTATACGTATTAAAACATGTGATAAACTTGGCTTTTATTGTGTCAGTGCCCAACATAGGGTAGTAGGTGAGGAGGGAGGAAGGGCGTGTGTCTCAGCCCCAGGGACCCCAAGCACACACACTACTAGAGTGACTCTGATAGCTGGCTAGGATTAAGTGATTTAGCAAGTGTGGGCGATCTCTTGAGACTCACTGCCACGTTGTGAGGGAGGAGTTCTGGGCATTATTGATCCCTTTTTACCCTTGGGGAAACTGAGGCTTATAGAGGTGAAGACCCTTGCCTGTGGTCCCCTCAGAGCCATATGATGCTAGGAAATGTTCAGCCCAGGTCTCTGAGCATTCTCTCTACTCCTCTCCTCCCTGAGAGAATAAGAGGAATGAGCATTTATGTAGCACCTAATGTGTGCCAGGCATTGTGTGGGATGTTTTACAAATATCTTCTTTGATCCTCACAACCACCCTGGGAGGAGACAGGGACTGTTATGATTCCCATTTTATAGGTGAGATAACTGAGGAAATCAGATTAAGTGACTTGCCTAGGGTCACAAAGCTAGGAAGTATCTGAGCCCAGATTAGAACTCAGGTGTTCCTCACTCGAGGTCCAGCACTCAATCCCCTGCTGCCACTTTGCGGCCCTGGAGGCTAGAGTGACCTCATTTGGGTTCCATTTCAATAAGGACATGAATGAACTGGAGAGGGTCCAGAGGAAGGCGGCCAGCATGGGGAAGGGCCTGGAGTTCCTCATCGTAGAAGGAGTGGTGGCCATAGCTGGGCATGTTTAGTGACGGTTTCCGGGGGACATCGCTGCCATTCTCAGGGGGAGGGTTGCTGGGTGGAGAAAGCGTCGTCCCGAAGTCCTTCTGAGCCCCCTGCCTCCCTGCCAGGTGTTGGTTCAGGGCTATCTCTTGGAACCTTCTCGGCGAGAGGCCTTCCTGCAGCAGGTTTATGCCCAGCTCTGTGTCTTTGAGAACAAGGTGGCTGCCACACTACAGCAGCAGTATGAGCCCCGGAGCCAGGTACGTGGGCAGGAACTGGCTGCTACTGCTGCTGCTGGGTCACAGTCTAGGCATGGGGGCATAGACTGGGTTCCTGTGTCCCCAGGGTACAACTCAAGCATATGGTCATAGGCTGGTTACCTCTGCACCCCTGGGGTACAGTGCAGGCATACTGGTGGTGGGGATGGCACTCTGGGCTATGGACTTGATCAGGCAGGACTGAGCTGTCAGTTTGGGCTGCTGTGCATAGGCAAGGAGCAGTAATAGCGACTCTCATTGGCCTGGGCTTAGGTGGACACATCCCATTTGAGCCAGGACCGGCCCTCTGGCTCAGCAGGGGTCTCCATGGTGACGGCTGACATTGGCCTCGTCAGTATGATCCGCCAAGGCATTCTGGCTCTGCAGCTTTTGCCATCTAACTCCAGTGCTGGTTAGCGGACACCGGGGGAGGGATGGGACACGATGGGTTGGCCTGGGATGGGAGTCCTGGGCTCTCAGGGACATGGGATGTGGGTGGAGGGATCTTTATACCTGAGGGGCACAGCCTGGGTACCTGTGGATCACTGGACTGCTCCGTGGCTCTGGTGATGAGGGGTTCTCAGAGCTGAGCTTGACTTGGGGCCTTGGCTTAGCCACTCACGGGGGCTGACTCTGCTGCCCCCTCCCCAGGTATCATTGTGATCACTGATGGCGTGACCAGCGTCCCTGATGTCGCAGTCTGTGAGACGCTGCTCAATCAGCTACGAAGCGGCACTGTGGCGTGCTCCTTTGTGCAGGTATGTTGTGCAGGGGCACCGGGAGTGGCTTGGCCTGGAGTGCCTTCCCTGGGCCCTCCTCAGCCCCTCCCACCTGCCATCACTCACCTGGGGCTCCCCTCTCTTATCCAATCCCTTGCCCAGGGCATCAATTCAATCCATGACATCTCTGCAGGTGGCCTCCAACCTCAAAGCATCCTATTCCATCTGTGGAGGCTTGGGGTGGGCCTTTTGGCCCTTGTTCTCAGGCTCCTGCCCCCTCCAGCGTGACCCCTGCCTCTCCCCAGGTGGGGGGCGTGTACTCCTATGACTGTAGCTTTGGTCACGTGCCTAACGTTGAGCTGATGAAGTTCATGGCCATGGCAACCTTTGGTTCCTACCTCTCCACGTGTCCTGAACCTGAGCCCGGCAACCTCGGACTGACTGTCTACCACCGGGCATTTCTGCTCTATTCTTTCCTGCACAGTGGAGAGGCCCTGAATCCTGAGTATTACTGTGGTAAGGAGGAGACAGGCAGGGCTGAGGGGGGGCCGGCCCAGGGGAAGGCCCAGCCCTGACTCCCTGCCCTGCTCCTTCCCCAGGCTCCCAACACCGACTATTTAATGAACATCTGGTGTCAGCGAGCAGCAACCCTGCCCTGGCACTGCGGCGGAAGAAACACGCGGAGAAGGAGGTGCCCGCGGACCTGGTCAGCACTGTTTCTGTGCGACTGAGGGAGGGCTACAGTGTCCGTGAGGTCACCCTGGCCAAAGGTGGGCATCCTGCCAGCTGTCCCGGCCAGGGGAAGTGTGGGTCGGTGAAGGGCTCCGGGCCTGGGCTTGGGGCGGGGAGGGCCTGAGCCTTCCCCTCTGGCTGACTCTGCTCCCCTCCCCCAAAGGGGGCTCCCACTTGGAAGTGAAGCTGGTGCTGCTGTGGAAGCACAACATGAGGATTGAGTATGTAGCCCTGGCCCCCTGGCCCCTGGAGTGTGCAGGTCCTCGGGGCACGTGGGTGGAGGTGACCATGGAGGGAGGCTATGACATCCTGCACGATGTGTCCTGTGCCCTGCGGCAGCCCATCCGCTCCCTCTACCGTACCCACGTCATCCGCCGCTTCTGGAACACGCTACAGAGGTGAGCCCCCTGGGCTGCTGGAGCGCCCCTCCCAAGTCACGCTTCTCAGCCCTCTGTGTGACCTGCCCCCCCAAGCAGCCTTATCTCATCCAGCACTCAGGAAACTTTTTAAGTGCCTGCTGTGTGCCAGGTACTGCACTAAGTGATTCAAAGACAAAGAGAGGCAGGAAGGCTCACAGTCTGATGGAGCAGAGAAGGGGGCCCAGGACAGTGCCTTGGGGGACACCCAAGGTGACAGGGCATGGTGTGGAGGAGGATCCAGCAGAGGAGATGGAGAAGGCGCGGTCAGCGAGGGAAGAGGAGAACCAGGACCGGGGCGAGGGGAGCGTCCTGAAAACCAAGACAGGAAAGAGTGATCTATGGTGTCAGAGGCCGCAGAGAGGTCAAGGAGAATGAGGATAGAAAAAAGGTCGCTTCAATTAAGATATCATTGGTATCTTCGCAGGGAGCTGTTTCAGTCAAGCAGAGTGACCTTGGGGTCTGCCTGGGCTCAGCTCTGCAAAAACAGGCTCTATTTTCTAGGGGAGAGAGACTAGGGGTGTCAGGGTGAGATCAGGGCGGCACTTGGCCTGAGCCTTGGGAACTATCTCCCCTTCTCCCCTCCCCCTGGGGCCACGTCTAGCCAGCCACCACATCTGCTGTGGTGATGCCTTAGTTGGAGCCTGTTGTGTTTGGGGGAGAAATGGCCTCATTCTGTTGCAGCATTAACCAGACAGACCAGATGCTGGCGCACCTGCAGGCTTTCTCCTCTGTCCCAGAGCATTTCACACTTCCTGACAGCACCAAGAGTGGAGTTCCTCTCTTCTATATCCCACCTGGCTCCACCACCCCGGTAAGTTACCCTTGCCACTCCTTTGGCTTTCCTGGGGTGCCCCTCTGAGGCCTTGTCCCTGGGCCCGAGCCCTCAATGCTGCCTCTAAGCCCTCAGGCCCTTCCCCAAGGCTAATGTGTGGCCCCAACTAGGCCCAGATCTAGGGGAAGGAAGCTCCTTGTTCTGAGTTGTGTGCCTTTGAAAACTGAGAGGAAACTGACTGAAGGACCCACCAGGGAGCTTCAAAAATGCCAGTAGTCGAGGGTGGCCCGCTCTGGGTTGTTGGGGGCTCAGCTCGATCCCTTTAGGATCTAAGCCCAGTATTTGGTTTGCATCCCAGGGAGGGAGGCTTGAGCAGCTACCGCCAGCCTTCCCTCCATGGCTTTCAAGCCCAGGTCAGCTTCGAGCCTACTCTTCTCCACAGTCTGCGGAAACTGCCTGGGAAAATGCTCTTTCCAGTCAGGTCAGTCTAGACAAGATGGGCATTTCTGGGAAAGAAAGCAATTTTGCTGAGAACCTGAGAACTAACCCACAGGCCTCCAAAGGAGGGCGTCACCCCGGCCTGGGCCTCGGATCTACACTTGATTCTCAGTTGACTGTAGTAGGCATAGCTCAGGCACTCCCAAAGCAGTTCGGTTCAATTCAATAAATGCTTATTAGTTGTCTGCTGTGTACCAGGCCCTATGCTGGCTCCTAGGGACCCCGAGGCTAGATCAGACTGTCTCTTCTGCCAAGGAGCTGGTGTTCTGCTGGGGCTTATCCAGTACTGCTCTCTGGAGGAAGGGGACGGCGCCAACAGCGTACGTCAGGGCAGGGTCTGCGTAGGAGGTGGCTGCTGCGAGGACCTTTGGGGGCTGCTTAGGACTGCCAGGCAGGAGTGGGAGGGGGGCCAGCTGGTACTGCCTGGATGGAAGTGAAGACCAAGAAGGGGGGTTAGAGAGGGCAGCTAGTCTGGAGCTCAGCTGGGGAAGGCTTCCAGAACCAAGAAGAGAAAGGGATGCCCAGGGTGCTTCCTTGTCTGCTTAGATTCTTAAAACCTCTCTAGAAGGTGGAAGCAAGAGCCAGCCAGCACCAGGAGGAAGATGAGAGAGGAAACCCGTCCTTCCAGGATGGAATCTGAACTTAGGACAGCCCATAGGTTTCTTGGGAAGGGGCTGGACACTGCTTAGGCAGATGGGACAGAGAGAGGGCCAGGCCGCTCCTTACTGCTTGGGCTGCTGACAGGGACTAGAGAGACAAGTGGAGAACCCGCTGTGTTCTGGCCCCACCCTGGGGGAGCTCGCTCCCCAGCAGCTGTGACTTCTGAAAGGCAGAGGACAGCTTCTTAGGACTGGAGAAAGGTGAGTGAGTGTTCCTGTTTTCCGCAAAAAAGGAAAAGGGGATTTTGTCACCTGTAGACAGTGAGGTGGGTTCAAATTGTGAAACTCTGGGTGGCATCACTGGAGGGAGCATATGCATATGGCACAGGAACCAACCTGGCTTCACCAGGCAGGACCTGGCAGAGCAGATGGCGCTGGGCACAAAGCTTACTTGGGGCTTATGTCGTTGTCCTGAGGAATGGTTTTACTGACTGAACGTTGTAGAAAGACCCTTGGCCCCGAGTCAGCAGATGTGGACTGTGAGCTCTGAGCTTTGACCCTTCACCGTCGTGTCTGGGGCTGGGAGGGGCCACAGATCTTAGAAGTTACCGGGCCCCTGAGGTCAGGCATGAAGGGATGGACCCGAGGCCCAGCGTGAACAGAGGCCGGGTGTTTAATACGTGGTTCACATTTTAGTCAGTGACACAGAGGGTAAAGGCATAGATGTCGAGCAGCTCATTCCATCTGCAAGTGACCCCTCATGGGGAGGGGGAGCTACTGCAGGGGGGACAGAGTCACGGTCCCGAAGGAGTATGACCGTGTGGACCATTGGCTGGAACCTTTGAAGATGAGGTTCAGTATTAGGTAAAGTCTTGCACTTCTGGACAGAAATTTGTCTTTACAAGTAGAGGATGGGAGAGGCGTGGGTAGAGAGCAGTTGCTTTGAAAAGAATCTGAGGGTTTGAGTGGACTGCAAGCTGAGCATGAGGTAGTAGTGGGGTGTTGCAGCCAAGAAAGTGCATTTAGTCTGGGGCTACACCAAGAGAGGCCAGGCTTCCAGGAGCACAGTGATCCAGTGTCCAGAGGGGCCAGTCAGCGTGGGTAAGGGCCTGGAAGGGAGAAGAGTGGGAATGAGGGCTCAGCCTTGTTCTGTGTGGTCCCAGAGGACAAACCAGGAGCCACAAGAGGAGTCGGCAAATCGCCTGATTGCGACTCAGTACCAGGATAAACTTCCTAACAATGAGTGCTGGAAACGAGCCTGGTCGTCGTCTGGAGGGAGTGAGCTCCCCATCCTGGGTCATGTTTTAGAAGGGATTCCTTTCTAGAATGGGTTGGACTAGGTGATAGCTAAGGGAAACCTCTTCCAACTCGAAAATTTTCTGGTCGTGAATCTCCTCCCACTCCAGTCTACCCTCCTCACAGTGTCAAAGACATTTTCCTAAAGTGCAGGGCTGACCTTGCTCACTAAACTCCAGTGGCTCCCTGCTACCTCTGTGGCCATGGCCTGCCCCGAGGCTACCTTTCCAGCTTTATAATGCATGACTCCCCTTCCTGCCTCTACAGTCCCGGCCACCTGGCCGTCTCACGGTTGCTCCTTTGCTTGCCCAGAGCCCTCCTTCCTGGAGCAGTCTTCTTCCTCACCTTGCCTGTCTGCTTCCTAGAATCCCAGGTTTCTTCCTCGTCCTCCAACTGCCAGGAGCTGTCCCCAGAAAGTTGCCTTGTATGTATTTTGTGTCTTCTCGTACCTACACGTTACAATAGAATGTAAAGTTTTTGAAGACTGGGCCTGAGCAAGGCCTGCATGGGGTGTGGTGTCAGAGTTTATGGATTAGGAGATTAGTCACCTGAGCCCATGGTGACTTCTCCTTTGTAGAGAGGATTCTTGTTCAGGTTTGGGTTGGCTGAGGCCTCTGAGATGCTGGGGCTCCCAGCTGTATTTGTGCTCCAGACAAGAGAGAGACGTGGATCATTTTTGAGGAGGGGAATGGCGTGAGATCTGTGTCTCAGGAATCTTAGTGAAGGATGGATTGGAGGGGGGAGAGCCGTGGCCGTGGTCCAGGGAGAAGTGATGGGGGCCTGGCCTTCTGAGTGGAGGGAAGGGGTTTCAGGCCCTGCTCTTGTCACTTCTGATCACAGGCAGACTTGGCATAGCTACCACCACTCCGGTTCTTTCAGGTGCGTCCTCCCTGCGCCTGGCCTGAGGCCTGTTTCTGCTCTGAAGCCCCTTATCCCTCCTACATCCTGCTGTGGCTCGCTGTCCCGGGCTGGGGCTGCAGTTCTGGAGATCCTGGGAAGTTTTCACAATTAGGAAAGGCAACCATAGGTAGAACAATGAGGAGGCACAGGGACAGTGTGAGTTCAAGGGCGGGGTGTCCCCCACATTACAGATGCAGGGAGCTCCCTGTCTCCCTGGAGGGCCCCGGAGCCTTGGCCAGAGCAGGGATGGAAACAATTGAGGCCCCTTTGGGGAGGCCACAGCAAGTTTTCTCGCAAGTTCCCACCATGCCGCCTTCTTGGATGCAGGGTCCTTCATCAACTTGTCAGCAGTGAGGCCTTCATTGTTTGCCCTTCTTAGATGTCACAGCAGAGCGGAGAGCTAGGGCGGGACCGGCCTCCCAGGACGCGTGCCTGAACCTGGCCTGGGCCAGCGTCCAGAGGAGGCTGCACCCTCCAAACAGCGCTACGGTTGCTGTCCTAGCAGCTCTTCCTCAATCATGGCACTCATTTCATGTTTAAAATGCTTCAAGAACACATCGAGTAGTGACATGTCCCTCAGTGGGCCAGAAGTTGTCCCTACGTGAGGAGCTTCAGCTGCAGACAGGTCTGAAGCGTTGGGTAATCTGCCAGCTCCCTGCCAGGGAAGGAAGTGTTGGAAACTTGGCCCCGGGAACCCTGTTGCCTGTGAACTGGCTTGCAGAGCCGGCACAGAAGTGTGCCTCCCAGCCCCAGCTTACTGGGCAGCTCTGTCCTGAGCAAGGGACACGAGGGCCTTTTCCCCTTCATTCCTCACCCCCAATGGTGGGGTCACTTTGCCTTGGCCCTGAAGGGCTATGGGTGTATTTCTCAGCTGCATTCACAGGGCATGTCTGCAGGCCCTTTTGTGGCCCTAATTGGTCTTTGCCCCAGACCCTATCAGAGATCCTGTGACTTCAAGGCCAGTCCTGCAACTCAGCCATGGTGTGACTTAGGGCAGGAACTTGCCCTGTCCAGGGTCTAGCTTCAGACACCTCAGAAAAAAGATGGTGTTCCCCACTGTGGAAGACCACAGCCTGCAAGTGTTGATGCCTGCTACCTGCCAGGCACTGCTAAATACAGGGCATGCCATCTAGCAAAACACCATGTATACATGTACATGTGCATGTATGAAGTATGTACAGGCATAGAGGCAAGGACTGATGTCATTGGCACCTGGAGCTCCCAGGTGAGAAAACATTCCACCCACGCAAGTTGTCACCTTCTTAGTCTCAGAAAACCACAGGGTCACCCAGCCAGCGGGCCAGAGGTGGTACTTGAACTCAGGTCCTCCTAGCTCTGAGGCTGCCTTTCAAAGGCAGAGTTGGGTTTTTTCCCTAGCCTCTGGGGGTTCAGGAAGGACTTCCTGTGAGAAGAAGGGCTTCGTGCCTGGTCTGAACTTTGAGGGGAGTGGGAGCAGGAGGAGGGAGATCCCGCAGACAGAATAGATGTGGGCTATAGGACCTCTCCTCTTCCTTTTTTTAAATTTTAAAAAGTTTTTATTGATGTCTTTTTTTTTTGTATCAATATCTCTCCTCTTCCAGAGAACCCTCCAATATAACAAATAATATTTTTTAATAACAAAAAGGAAAAAATGAGAACACCTACGCAGTATATCTTTTTATTATTATTTTATTTTTAGGCAATTGGGGTTAAGTGACTTGCCCAGAGTCGCACAGCCAGTAAGTGTCAAGTGTTGGGTCTGAGGCC